GCACAGAGACTTTACTGCTGCGCATCAAAAAGCAAAATGCAAATGCAAATGCTTATCAAAGACCATGGTAGAAAGTCAACTTTCAATATTGTTTTGGACTTTTTGGGCTCTAAAGCTTTACAGAGTGGCTTTGCTGTCCAAGATACTGTTGTATGATTTCTTAGTCTATATATGCTCTAATAAACTAGTCACATGAATGAATTTAATAAATGTCGGTATTGCTCTCAAAATAATCACTAGGTTTTGACATGTTAACAAATGAGCAATTTTCAGCATTTCAGCAGTAGGCCATTATATGATTCAGTTATACACAAGTTTGACATTTATGGGGCTGTGTAACGTTTGTGTGTTTTGTTCCCTGATCTTTAATATATACTGGGTAGCTACGCAAATATTTTCTAAAAATGTCAAGTTGATAAATAGTGATTTAAATCCTGATGCATTTTCACATTCATTTATTTAACTTGCTGCGTTCATTTAATGTTTTAATACTTTTCAGCCATTAACACAGGTGTCAAACTCAGTTCCTAAAGGGCCGCAGCTCTGCAGTTTAGTTCCAACCCTAATTAAACACACCTGAACAAACTAATTGAGTCCTTCAGGCTGGTTTGAAACCTACAGGTAAGTGTTGGAGCAGGGTTGGAATTAAACTGTGCAGAGCTTTGGCCCTCCAGGAATAGAGTTTGACACCCCTGGTTTGAGTTATACTTTACCATCAAAATGTTGCATGTTATATAATCATCATAGATCGTAAAAATTAAAGTTGAGTGACATTAGGTAAAGTGCCCGCTCACTTTTGACAAGGCCAGTCCAAAATACATTTCTGCTATTGTAATACAAAAATGCACTATTGTTGCATTATCATAGTTTAAATTTGTCATGTTCAGTTTATTCCCCCTGCAAACAATTTCAATTGTTACACTTGTCATTTCCCCTCCAAATAAAATTTAGCCAGAGGTGCGCAACATGACCTCTAAAAAAAAGGTGCTGTAACATGTACCTATATGCAGCACCCCAATATGATAGAGCGGCATAGCAGTGTTTAGACATTTGTTTACTTTTGTTTTTATTAACTTGAAAGTTCAGCTATTGAGTTTTATTGAACAAAGGGAGCTGTTTACATTACACAACCCATCAGTAGTTGCCTTTAATGCAATGTTTTAAAGAGCTGTTGCAGCCTGAGTGGAAAATAAAATCGTATTAGTGCTGCCTGGCCCAGTTTGGCACAAAATGGAGCAGTTCCATTAAGAGAACGATTCAGCATGAGTGCAAAAGCAGCTAAAGTTTGTGAAAATTTTTTATCTGGATGTAGAGAATCTCATAGCACAGAAACAGCACACCTAAAGGCATATTTATACTTCTGCATCAAGCACACAAGTATGCTTCAGCACAACCTGTGCATGGTCTCATAGCCCTTGCTGTGGCAGTCAGACACTGATGCACACCTCAAATGAATAGAGAAAGCTGTGATTGCTCAGATTTGTAGAGCTGACAAGTGTGCCCTAACCTAGTCCTCATCTTCAGTCAGTAATTTGAGAGCTTTCTGACAGCAACCCGTGTAAGGCCAGATTAAGCATCTGTAAAACTCAATTTCTTCATCTTAATGTTGCCAAACTTTGACAAGCGATCAATAACTGATGCAGAAAAGCTTATCCATGCTTTCATGACCTCTCGATTAGACTACTGTAATGAGTTACTAGGCGGTCGCCCTGCTGGCCTCACTAACAAACTGCAGCTGGTTCAAAATGCAGCTGCTAGAGTGCTTTCTAGAACAAAGAAATCACATTACTCCTGTTCTTTCAGTGCATGGAATCCTTATTAAATATTTAATTTACAATTTTATTGTTTACCTACAAAGCCCTCAATGCCTTAGCTGCCCAGTATTTGAGGGAGCTCCTGGTGTATTATAGAGCATGCCATTGATTCCTTTAAGACCCTATAGTGACCCACAGGTCTACGTATTGATCATGAAGGGTCAGTCTGTACACCAGCCAGTGACCTCTCCCATCTGCAGCTTCTCCACAATGGATGTCCACCATTCTCCAGCCTCCAGTGCCTAGACTGCAGCTCTGTACAGGGGAGTTTGGCCAGAGGAGAAATGGTCATGCCCAACTGAGCCTGGTTTGAGGTTATTTTTCCCCCTTTACTTTGGTCAGTTGGCAAACTAGCTCACTTGGTTTGGGGCTTGTGTAGTTGAGCATGGATGGATTTTTTCTTCGTTGTTTTGACTTTCAGCAGTGAAAATTAAACACCGAAATTAATCTCTGAAAACAGCCGATTTAAACCTCTCATACCTGATGTGAAAATAAAGCATGCACATCCTCAAAAATCCTTAGCCCGAACAGTTATAATAGATAGAAATTTGTATTAATGTTAAACACTTATTCAGATAAGGGAGATTCCACAGAAAGAAGAATTCTTTTATGCAATGAGTGAATCGGTCATTAAGATTTCCAAGGTAACATATGCCCGGAGAACTGAGCTGCCCAAAGAGCTGATTTAATGTGAATAAACCAAAGCAGCTGCCAGGCAAATTATATTGAGTTAATGTTCTGGACAGATTTTAAACCAGTCATTAGAAATCTCCCAAAGGGTTAACTTTATTATGAGACCACTGCAAATGACATGGAGTACTGTCTGACAAAAATTTAGGAAATAAGTGTACGGTCTATGCTATTGTGTAGTTGTGAACGTCTTCAATAACACCGTGGAGAAAGAAAATAAAAGAAAAGAAAAAAAAACTGAATTTCATTGATTTCATTTCATTTAAATTTCAGATTTTTGAAGAGGAAACTGGAACTGGTAAAGTTGAAATATTTATAGGTGAAGAGGTTCAAATATTCCCATGAAATTGAGATATTGTAAAAGAGTGAAGTGTGGTTACCTTCACTGAGAGGTTCTGGAGTTAGATGTTCTAAGAGTTACAGAAGATCTTATTTTGAAACCAGCCATGTACACTACAGATGTTCTGGAGAAGGTATGTAGGGTTTTTTTTCTGAAAAGTTCTGGGTTAAGTTTTTGGAAGATCAATTTTAAATCTTCCCATGGAAATAGATCTTACAGAGGGAAAATCTGGTCATTCTGTTGTAAGGTTATAATTTGAGATTTGGTGTTTTAAAGTGTCCCTATGGAAGTACTAATCTTACTCCTTAACCTTAATCCTAGTAAATTCTGGGGTTACAAATCTTAAGTAGATCTCATGTTTGAGTTGATTTTTTTGAAAAGTACTCGAATGACTGGTGTAGGAGATGTTGATGCACAATGTGCTGTTGTGTGGTGGTGCTAATCACCAGTAGAAGACTGGGCTTCATTTAAGGCCATTCACCCAAGACCACCTTCCCTGCGTGCTGTCCAAGTGGACCCAGGGGGGCTGAATACTTACCACTCCCCCAAGTGACCTTTTGTTAACACCGCAAGGTTGCCCAGGTCACCCGAGAAGAGTCTGAAGGGGTCTCTGATTGGGGCCTACTCTGGCTAGTCCAGAGACCAGGCTCCCAGGTCCCCAGATTTCTCCAAGGAACATGAGAGCCCTTGCCCAAATCAGCTGAACCTAACACGTAGATTCAGGAGTAGAAAATAGCCATGAACTGGTCATTGACTTCTCCTTCCCCATGCTGATTTTCTCCAGGGTATCTCTAATCAACATGCAAGTGGTTCTATAAGCCCAAGATAGCCCAAGAACTAGTCCCAAATGTGATCAGAGATATCCAGAGAGATGGTCCTGACCTCCTACTCATTAATTTAATGAAAATAATTTAAGAGATCAGGTCGAGGTTCAATCTGGCGGATATATCTAAGTAGATATATCATTCTTCTACCAAACATCTCCCCTAAGGCAATGCAAGAACCAAACCGACATCATCCTCATAAAGAATAACCGTTGGGAGCATTGCCCTAGAGAAATGAAGAGTCTGGGGCTTGACCAGGTGTTGAGACACAGCATTTCGGCAGTGGTGAGTTTTCTCATGACCATTTGTTTGTTTGTGTTTTTCTTTGTTCTTGTTTGCATATTTTCATTCAGAATTTGAATATCTGATGTCTAGATTGTTTTCCCATACTTTGATTATCATATTTAATGTCATAAAGACCTTTAAAATTGTGTTTTATTAGAGAATAGACCATATGCAAATGACTCATTAGTATTCGTGGTTTTGCACCAATCACGTTTGTTCTCTGTTGAGTGTGCTTTAGGTCAGTTTAAATAATTTATATCTCTGTTGTTTCTTAATAATTTATTTTCTTTGTTTCGGCATTTTAATCTGTATATTATGTAGAAAAAGTGTTGAACATAAAAACTGTCATTACTAAAAAAAATGTTTTTTTGGGGTTACCGTTGTTGAGAAGTATAGCTGATTTAGTGGGGTCTCTTACAATCGCCTCATAGATTAAGACAAATGTAGTCTTGCTTTTTGCTAAATAATTAGAAAATGTAAATCTTGTGGAAATGTCATTAATGATGATAAGACTAACTTCTCAATCATCTGAAAAGACATGCAAGATTCAATGTAATGCAATAGTTACTGAAGTAACTCCAGAAAGCTAAATCTATCATAATTGTGAATTGATTTGCTCTAGAAGATGGTGCGTCAAAATAAAACATTGATTTAAGCTTTTGAATTTATTTTATTTGAGTTTAACTTTGACTTATTTGCATGAAAGCAAATTAAATTAAGTTGACATAAGTTGCTATGGAGGGTTATTCTCTGCAGCTAGCCTGAACTCCAGATAGAATAATCCAAGTGATTTATTTGTTAGTTTTATTGTCAATGCTACTTGACATCAGTGTTTTACAGTGACTCCATGTTATTGATTATTTACATATATTTTCCAACTATTAGCATTGAAAAGAAAACAGACCCTATACCGCAGAAAGAAAACACTAGCCATTAGCAGAAGCACAACTGTGTGTGTGTGTGTGTGTGTGTGTGTGCAGTGCATCTGCTGCATTTCACATTTACACATGTAAATCTCCATTATAAATTCATCAGAGAGATCTGAGCTTCTGGTTTTGTATTTGTTTATTCAGTTTTCTCATCTGTATGCAAGAGTCAGTTCGGCAGATCTGCTGTCGTCCACTTCCTGTGTCTGCTGCTCCACTTCCTCCACAGAACACACAAATATCACATCAAAACAAACAGTAGAGCCTGAGCAGGGGTGTGCTGATCACCTGTGTGTGTGTGTGTGTGTGTGTGTGTGTGTGTGTGTGTCAGTGAGTAGGGGCCGTCTGCAGTGTTCTCCTGGCCATCTCCAGAGCGCCGCTCTGCGTCTTGTTTCCGCCGATGAAGCCGCCGGCGTGCACAAAGATGCATTCTGGGATTCCACTGAGCTCTGACAGCGCATCGTCACGCAGCCCTCGCCACTCCTCCAGCAGACTCAACCTGCACAGCACAGCACAGAACACACTCTCAGCTGCGTGTGTGTGTGTGTGTGTGTGTGTGAGGGTGTGTATATATGTGTGTGTCTTACCGGTTCTGGAAGGTGTTGGGTCCGGCCGGCACACACTGCACCCTCCAGTGGCCGTTCTGATCGCAGTACAGCACAAACTTGATGAGCTCCTGCAGCTGCAGCTCCTTCTCCAGAGCAAACAGGTGCTCCTTCCACGGACACCCGCCCTGCTGCAGCAGCAGCACCTGCCCGCTCACATCCACCTGCATGCGCAAACACACACACACACGCACGCACGCACGCACGCACACATTTGAGCATTGCAAAAGAAGAGCAGGAGCTGCACGGCTCTGAGATCAGTGTGCATGTGTGTGTATACGTGCGTAGATGTGTGTGCATGTGTGTGTGCATGCGAGCGTGTGTGTGCATGTGTGTGTGTTTACAGACCTGGTGTCGGCTCTTGATCGCCTGCAGCACCACGTCCCGTGCCGGCAGCCAGGCATTGGTGAAGTACAGCAGCCGGTCCTGGAACTCAGAGCCCACGAGCGCCAGAGCTTTCCGGAAACCCTCCTGTGGAGCATCAGCAGAGTGACCTCACCACGGTGTTTCCACACACCTCATCTTATGTTCATTGTGCATATGCGCATTAAACACTGGTGAATGGAAACGGTGGATGGAAACGTCATGATGAATAAAAACGTCTGCGCATACCTGAGGAGGATCAACCTTTCATTCCATTAGAGAAGATGCACATAAACATGATGGAAACACTTTTACCGCACAAATTTCAGTATGCACATTAAAGCTCATGTGATGTTGTGATGACAGGTCATGTGATGATGAACACGTGTGTGAATGATGCACCAGCAGGCCGAGCACACTGCACAACTGATCTGAACTGTAGATGTGGTCACTCTAAACGCCGTAACCGTTTCAGTATGTGTGTTATTGTATTATTAATGAGCTCGAGATCGTCTGTGCTCCGCGTCTGACACCTCAAACACCACCGCGCGTTCACTGCGTGTCAGGATTGCCTTCAGAGTCATTTATTAGATGAAGAAAGGATTGATGCGGCTGCTCCTACTGCAGCACATTCTGTTTGTACTGTTGATATTTGGCGCTTGTTAATCAGGAAGTGACGATGTTGTTCGCTTTGATTGGTTGGATGGAAACCAGTGTGTGTGTGTGTGTGTGTGTGTGTGTGTGTGTGTGTGTGTGTACCTCTGTGTCCTGCTCTTTGCTGTTCCACTGAGGGTTCAGGTAACTGACTCTGCTGCTGATGGTGGAGCTGATGGTGTAGCGCTGCTCTCCGTCACTCTGACTGATGCCATTATCCACCGCATCCACCTCCTCCACGAACCCCTCGTACATCTGCACAGAAGAGCGTCAGTGTGTGTGTGTGTGTGTGTGTGTGTGTGTGTGTGTGTGTGTGGCCCCGTCTACACTAATACATGTTAGCTGTACAGTGCATGAGTTCTGCTGTGGTTCCCGCTCACACTACCCCTGTGTGTTCAGTGTTCTGGAGCCGCTGCTGAGGCCGTGTTGTGTTCAGCGCTGCTGCTGCTGCTGTATGTCAGTGATAGAGGAGGCGGAGACATCTGAACACGGAGGCGGGGCTGCAGACATTCTCCTCTCTGATTGGTCTTTTCCTCATTATTCAGAGCGGAGTCCTGCATCCTCTCCTTCAGTTCACACTGCACTGTGTGATGAGGAGAACACACTGCAGAGGACCCGGCGGGGAAACAGTGTGAGTGTGTGTATGAGCTGATCCACATCATCCCCCTGCAAGCTCCGCTGCTGCACCATCCCAACACTGAACTGAACACAGGAGATGAGGAGCGGCCCATTCCCATCCTGATACACAGCAGAGATGAGGAGCTGCAGACTGACTGTGTGCACATGAGGAGCAGAACAGCAGCGCCTCCTCCCATCATCAGAGAACAATATGAAACACGGGGCATCACAGTGGTGCAGTGGGTAGCACAATCGCCTCACAGCAAGAAGGTCTCTGGTTTGAGTCTCGGCTGGGTCAGTTGGTGTTTCTGTGTGGAGTTTGCATGTTCTCCCCGTGTTGGCGTGGGTTTCCCCCACAGTCCAAACACATGCGCTATAGGGGAAGTGACCAACTACACTGGCCGCAGTGAATAAGTGTGTGTGAATGAGTGTGTATGGGTGTTTCCCAGTGATGGGTTGAATTTGAAAGGGTATCCGCTGCGTAAAACACATGCTGGATAAGTTGGTGGTTCATTCCGCTGTGGCGACCCCTGATGAATAAAGGGACTAAGCTGAAGCAGAATGAATGATGAATGAATGAATATGAAGCACAGGCTGCAGGCCCTGATGAAGATCAGCTTCATCATCAGTCAGAACAGGAGAACACACCGTGTGTGCAGGGGGCGCTCAACATTACTCTGCATCAACTGTGATTAGCCTACATTAGTAACAGTTCGTTTTGTTATGGTTTGAACTCAATCCTAGCAAAAACTAAATAAATGAACAACACAAGACCTGCGACCAAATCCACGACTAGAGGAGCCTTAATTCAAGATGATCACACTTACGACTTCTCAATGCTTTAAGACCCTGCGGGTACTCTAATATGTGTGTGTGTGTGTGTGTGTGTGTGTGTGTGTGTGTGTAGTCACCTTGTCGTACAGCACCTCCAGCTGTGGCTCGTCCTCCTGCAGGTGTGTGAGCTGCTGCAGGACGCGTCTCCCGTAATGAACGTACACCAGACCGGCGGAGCTCAGCTTGGTGACCCACGGCTTCTGCGCACACACACTGTGGAAACTCTCCGCGAACGCCCTGTGGAGGAGCATGAGTGTTTAACACACACTCTGCACATCTGTAACACACTCTCTGAAAGCAAACATACACACAGACCTGCACACACACACACACACACACACACACACAAACACACACATGCACACACACACAAACACATACACATACACGCACACACACAAACACACACACATAAACACACACACGCACACACACGCACGCACAAACACACAAACAAACACACAAACACACAAACACGCACACACACAAATACACACACACACACCTGCGCACACTGAATGACTTGATCAGTGAGGGTTCAGAGCACAGTGGAGTGAGGCGCTCCGAACACGAGCAGCATTACTGTACAGAACATCACCAAACTGACCACTCTAAACACTGCAGAGTGTGAGTGTGTGTGTGTGTGTGTGTGTGTGTGTACCTCTGGTGATGGTCGTAGCGCTGCCGGCTGTGGTCATATTCTCCTCCTACATCCACCACAACATCACACTCAGCCAGAACTGAAGCATCTCTGCTGCGCACGATCTCTGCATCCTGATGGAGAACACACACCCTGAGACACGCATATGTGTGTGTGTGTGTGTGTGTGTGTGTGTGTGTGTGTGTGTGTGTGTGTGTGTGTGTGTGTGTGTGTGTGTGTGTGTAAGAAACAGAGAGATAGAGCAACTGAGTGTGCGTGTACAGCACCATCAAAACAAACAATCCATTCACACACACACACATGCATGCATACACACACACACACACACAATCCTACACAACTGATTCTTATTCAGACCTCTAACCCTTGCGTAGTGAATCTCCAGGCTTGTTGTGTGTGTGTGTGTGTGTGTGTGTGTGTGTGTTGTGGATGATCAGCTCGCAGCAGGAGGAGAGGAGAGATGTTCAGGACTGTGCTGTACACCAACATCACTCACACTTACAGTGCGGGCTTCAGCAGATACACCTCAGTAAAACACCAAGGCTGCGTCTGAAACCGCATACTTCCCTCCTGTACACTTCACTAAATCAGTACGCGAGCAGAGTAGCGTGTCTGAATTCCTACATTTTGAAAATCAGTATGCCAGAAGTGCCCGGATGACCGACTACCAGCGAGATTCTGGATCCCAATCCCGCAGCGCTATCCCATGATCGCAGATTATCCTACATATATGACATCCATGTTGATCTGCGGATTTTACATCTACAACTTGTCATTTATGCAGCATGCATTTAGAAATAAAGCAAATAAGTTCACTTGGAGAAAAGAGTCCACTAAAAGCATTTAATAAAGCACAGTTGAGGAACCTGCGTGTGCATATTATCATGCCAATGGCTGAAAACACAAGTGGCCTTTAATGCAACATTTCACAATATATGTGGCACATATGACAGATATGACACTATAAAACCTAATTAAAATAGAGTATATCATATATTTGTTTACATGTTTATAACATTATTCGGGATATTCCAGTACGGTGTTTCTCCAGTAACTGTGGAGTGTTTGTGCTCATGGTAAGTTTGACAATGTAATGCACAACCGCATTAGTCACTTTACAACTAAACAACATCTCTGACTTTCAGCCTTGAACATCACCGCGGAGCTCCAGTGTGAATATTCTGAGTCTGCTCAACACTTTAACTGAAGTAAGAGTTTACCGTAGTAATAATGATCTGTTCATTTAACACAGCCTCTATGACAGCAGATGGTGGTGTGGGCTCCTGCTTGGAGACTCTGGGTGATGTTCAATCTTTTACACATTTAAACTGATGTCAGTTTGCAAATAATATTTAATTTTCCTGAAGCTCTCCCAAAACCCAGAAAAACACAGAGCTTATCTTGGGCATCTGTACTCTGCTAGTTAACTATTAAACCAATTTAAAAAGTTATTTTATTTATTTATATATATATATATATACACACACACACATAGACATTAGTGCCCACGTGCACACTTATATATAACGTTACACACGCACACACATGCACTTGCGCGCACCTTGTATTCCGGGAGCTGCCGCAGCAGGAAACACGCCAGGACTTCATCACAGTGGAAAGTTCCGTTGTGAGTGCCGATCTTCATCTTCATCTTCATCAGATGATGTTTATTGATCAACACTGAGCTGAGGAGCCGAGAGCACACTCTCATCTGATGATTCCGGCTGCTGCTGCTTCCTCTGCTGCTGCTCTGTCTCCTCTGCAGCGCCGCCAGCCGGACGGGAGATGCAGTGTGCGCATGCGTCATATTTAAGGATCTTTTTTTTATTTAATAAGCTGCGTCCCAAATGGCACACTATACACTATGCACTCATGCACTATGTACTTATGCACTTACACACTCAACAGGATAGTATATGTATGTAGTGTCGTCCCAAATGGCACACTAATGTGTTTTTACTAAGCGGAAATTCAAACCGTTTCCCTGATGACGTTTGACGGTTGCCAAATCAGTGAAATAAATGACCAAAATATCAGATAATACCTGCCGTGTGTATTGCCGCATTCACCATCGGGAGGCGCTATAATCACTCTCGTAGGAGAATTTTGCTTTCACCATCCAAAATAAATAAAGTTATTCAACATGTACGTCTGATAGCTCCGCCCCTTCCGCTACGTAAGCAAACCTGCGGTCGTTGAGTCCGGGTAATTAAAGTGCTCTTATTATTTTTAGAGTTTTCAGTTCACACTACTTACACTATTTATACTACAAAATGGCGTAGAATAGTGCATAAGTATGCGATTTGGGACACAGCTATAATATTGTGAAGCTTCTTCTTCTTCTTCTTCCTGGTATTTATTGGCGGTTCGCATTCTTATCAGAGCATTACCGCCACCTACTGTGGGTTATGAATCTGAGACTCTCTTATTTTTATTTTATTTATTTATTTATTTTTTACCTCTTGACTCTTCAAAACCCGAGCCTTCGATATTGCTGCGTGTTCAGCTCCTCCATCTACAGCTCAGGTCATATTGTGAAGCTCACTCTGTTTCTCCGAGATAATTCAGCAGAAGTGCTGTTCCTGACATCATTATTAAAAATATGTAAAATACAGGAGAAACAACATAACAGGAAATACAAGAAAAACAGAATCTGACAGCTGATGCAGGAATACACACTCCAGCGAGAGCATTTGTTGACTTTATTGATTTCACACACATTAATTAATCACACACACACGCACACACACACACACATACACACACACACACACACACACACACACACACACACAGCTTTACTGCAGATCTCCTTGATTATCAGACTCTCACATGTTGATTTGAGCAGCTCACAGCGTTCACTCGGGAATAAAGACGACTATATGAACATGACTGCAGGACTGATATTATATTGACATTACATTATTGCAGGATTCTCTATATATGAATATTGTGTCTGGTTTGATCAGTGTGTAGTGTAAGGCACAGATATTCATCATCGATTATCAGCAGATGAACATGTTGACAGCGCAGGCGTCAGCGGCGAGCCAGAACCACTGCAGGAGCAGAACATCAGTCAGAGTCACTGCTGGAGGAGGACGAGGAGGAGGACGACTGAAACACACACACACACACACACACACACACATCAGTTATACACACAGCTGGAGGAGGAGGACGACTGAAACACACACACACACACACACACACACACACACACACACACACACACACACACACACATCAGTTATACACACTACTGGAGGAGGACAACTGAAACACACACACACACACACACACACACACTACTGGAGGAGGACGACTGAAACAAACACACACACACACACATCTCGACTCTTTCCAGATGAGTATTCGGCGGTCAGCTCTCACCTTGCTCTTGCCATGCTTCATGTGCTTGTGCTCCTTGTGCGCTTTCTTCATCTTCTTCATCTTCTTGTGTTTCTTGTGTCCCGCCGGATGTCCTCCATACTGGGGGACGGTGCACGGCACTCCTGCACCCGGGTACGGCCCATATGGACCAGGCACCGCAGGCTGATGATGGGGACCCATGTGTGGGAGCGGCATGGGCTGGTTCATGCCCGGCGGGTACATTGGGTTAACCCCGGGTCCTGATGGGATAGGCATGGCCGGATAGGACGGGTTGTGCCCAGGGCCTGATGGGATGGGCATGGCTGGGTAGGATGGGTTTGGAGGGCAGGGATAGGCAGGATTGGGCGGTCCTGTGCATCACAGACAGGAGAGAAACATCAGTGTGTAAATCACCAGCAATAAAAACCATTCATTCATTATTCATTTACTTTTCAGCTTAATCCCTTTATTAATCAGGGGTCGCCACAGCAGAATGAACCGCCAACTTATCCAGCATATGTTTTTTTATGCAGTGAATGCCCTTCCAGCTGCAATCCATCACTGGGAAACATCCATACACACTCATTCACACACATACACTACAGATAATTTAGCCGACCCAATTCCCCTATAGCGCATGAGTTTAGACAGTGAGCACCGGAGCACCCGGAGGAAACCCACGCCAACACGGGGAGAACATGCAAACTCCACACAGAAACACCAACTGACCCAGCCGAGACTCAAACCAGCGACCTTCTTGCAGTGAGGCAAACGTGCCGCCCCATTAGTAAAATTAGCACAGTGAATCTGTCTGTACAGCCTCGTCCCAGTTAGAGCACTGTAGATGGTTAATGGACACATGTCAGACTTTCTCAGCAGTTGGAGAGGAAGAACTGCCTAAACAGGTTAGACCTGTCCAGATCAACAACAGTTACGTTCTCAACAGCCCTGCTGACAGTTCTGAATGACCTGCTGCTATCGTCTGATCGTGCCGGCATTACTCTCCTAGTGTTGTTGAAGCTCGGTGCTGCATTTGACACCACTGATCAAAACATTCCCCTAATGCGGCTAGAACCCTTTCTAGAGCTGAGAAATATCAGATCTGTGAAGTCTGTCTGTAGGACATCATCTCTCGGCTCTTCAGTCCTGCAGACTTACAGGAAAAGTCTGACCAGCCGCCCTGAACAACCCATCGGTCATCATCACCAGCGTTCACCAACCCCACACTGTAACCAGCACTGGGTTTCAGAATATCACCAGCACCGCACTCTTTCCTCCATCATCTTACTGTCGGAGCACGCTCTCAGTCTTTAAATCACACAGACTGAACGATGGAGCACAGCGAGACAAACTCTGAACCCCGAGCCGGAGTCCTGAAGACGAGCCTGTCAAACACTACACTGCTAGTAACAGATCCACCATGAGAATGACCGTGGCTAAAGCTGCAGACCACTCATCTCACACACAGATGCCGAGGCTGATCGGGGGTCAGTTGTTCAGGAGAACCACAGATCCTCATTCAGGACACTAAACCAACAAAATTACCTTGATTCGGCCACATGGTCCCCTCGTCCAGCTGATCTGCAACAGACAAAAGAGAACTGTGTGAGTGTGTGTGTGTGTGTGTAACACCAGAAGAGTAATGAACACACACTAGTGTTCTTCATCATAGATTGACTGCACTCCTCAAAGAGCCACTGTTTACTACAGACATGACTGACTACAGCAGACAGAGGAGGAGGAAGAAGAAAAGGAGGAAGACAGAGGAAAAACAACAAGAAGGGGAAAAGGAAGTAGATGAAGAGCTGGAAGATGAAGAAGAGGGGTGGTAAGATAACAGGAGGAGGAGGAGGAAGAGGAGGGAGAAGAAAAAGAAGAACAGGAAGAGAAAAAGGCAGAAGAAAAAGTGGAAAAGGGAAGAAGAGGAGGAGGAAGAGGACAGAAAAAATAGGGGGGAAAGAGGAAGGCAAGGAAGAAGAATTGGGAAGGATGAAGAGGAAGAGGAGATGGGGTAAGAGGAAGAAGAGGAGGAGGAAGAAAAAGGAGAATGGAGGGAAGTGTTTGACTCTTGTTGAACTGGTCCAGCATGGTTGAGTTCCTCTAAACTCCTCCTGATGTTCTCAGCGGTCTGTCATATGAACAGGGTGGTCTGGAGTCAGCAGTGAAGGCGACTCGCTCTGGAGCTGCTGCTCTTATTCTCGCTGTATTACACTGGAGAAAACTCTACTAATGTACAATTATGATGATGTGTTTTGATCTGAATTTAAGATGTTGAACACACGAACAGCCACAAAACGGCACACGGACAAACCTTTACAAAGGAATCAAAAGAGCAGTTCTGTACCGCCGCAGCCACACCACCGGCCCCGCACTGAGGCTGAGCAGGGCTGAGCCGGGTCGGTGTCTGGATGGGAGAGCACATGGGAACACTAGGCTGCTGTTGGCAGTGGTGTAAGTGAGGCCAGCAGGGGGCGCTCAACCTGTGGTCTGTGTGAGTACTAACGCCCCAGTGTAGTGAAGGAGACACCATACTGTCAGTGAGCACCTTAAACCGAGCTCCTGACTCTCTGTGCTCATTAATAACCCCATGGCAATTCTGGTAGAAGAGTAGGGGTGTAACCCCGGTGTCCTGGCCAAACTCCCTCCATCAGCCCTTACCCATCATGGCCTCCCAATTATCCTCATCCACTGAATTGGCTCTCTCACTGTCTCTCCAGTCCCACAGCTGCTGTGTGGTGAAGCGCTGGTGCTGCTGTCCTGTGGCTGCCGGAGCATCATCAGGTGGAGCTGAGCACTGCTGGAGGTGTGGAGACCCCCCTGACGATGGTGAAGCGCTTTGGCTGTACATGACACATGCGCTATAGAAATACACACTACACTACTGTTTAGTGGCTAATGTGCGCACTACAGTGGCGGACACACACTTAAGGCGGATTAATACTTCTGTGTCAAGCGCACACTAAAACACAGCCTTCGTGTGGACGCATAGCCCTCGGCGACGTTGAAGCACACCTCTCAAAATATGTACGTACATGTCCCAACAGCTCATAGCGCAAGCTCTGTGATTGGTCGGCTTGGCAGCGTTGACGAGTGTGGGCAGAGGTGAGAGCCGGGTGAGCTGGATGCAGCGAGTGTTTACAAGTGGGGAGTCCCCTGAAGGAGCTCCAGATGGAGACTGCTGTTCTGTTTCCCTCATGGTTAAAGTTGCTTCACGTCCGCCGGTTCCCGACTCTGAATGAGTGAGTTTGAGCCACTTGTAGATTAAGGAAGCGTTCAGAAAAAACAAAACACCAGTGAAGAAACTCGACACAGAGGAACAGGAACACCTGCTGCCAGCTAGTGTTCAGAAGAGTTACTGCAGAGCAACACACAGCAGAACAGCTACACACTTAACATGAGCCGAGGGTCACGCCGATCACTCCACACTGAAGGAGAAACCAGGCTGTACACTACCGGGAAACTCTGTGCTGTACGGGTCTTCTGCAGGTGTTGGAGCGCGTCTGATAATAGACATGAGCAGTATTCTCACTGAGATCAGGGCTCATGGTGAAGACGTGTCCTTCATCAGGGGAAATCATGGAGAGCTGACGGAGACGCGAGCAGGAGATGCAGGACACTTCTCACATATCCAAAAGGGTTTTACATGTGAATTAATTTACCCGGCAGCTGCTCTACAGTGCGGTGAACCAACCGTAACACCAACACCATGCAGACCTGCACTACACACGACTACAGACACTCAGGAGGGGTTTCAGGTGTGTTCAGGGTCAAGAACATCTCACAACAAACACAACTGAACAGCGTCTCTCCTTATGACACTGCGCAGAACAGGAAACGCCAGAGCAGGAGTCTCTGACCTCGGGAACGCCCTGGAACAACAGCAGCGCGCCCACACACACACACACACACACACACACACACACACACACACACACACACACACTTTGCAGTTTCTGGACAAAGTCCTGCATTGCTCCACATCAGTGAGTTTATTCGACAGTTGTTCGGCGCATCCCTCCCATCTATTTTTAGATGTGTGTATTTTTATGTGTGTGTGTGTGTGTGTGTGTGTGTACTGGAAACTGACGTATTACCGTACATAACTGAGGACAGATTTCACTAATGAACTGAGGTTGACATCAAAGACGGAAAGCGAGGATGAGCAAACACACACACACACACACACACACACACACACACACTCACACGCACTTACACGCACACTAACACTAGCCCTGCAGAGGAACACACAGTCATAAACAGCTTGTCAGAGCTCGAGCAGCGGTCAGGATCCGGCACACGCGTTCTGAAACTCACCTGATGATGATGAATGTCTCGGTCACACACCTTTCCCCGACAATCCCGAACACACTGAAAGACTTCCGCTTCCGCGAGCCAGAGCACGAGCACCGGCGTGACGTCAGGGCTGCGCACGCAGTGCGACCGCCTTACCTGTGCTATTGATCGAGTCAATCAGCGATTATTGATTATTGACTGCAGATCTGCAGAGGGACGGTGGAGGAGCTGGGGAACTGAAGCAGCTTTCTGTAGGCTAACTGAGGATATATGAGTGAAGTCTGCGTGTGTTACAGAGTCTAGAACCCTGACACACACCTGGAGCTGTGTGTGTGTGTGTGTGTGTGTGTGTGTGCGCGCGCGCGCGCGACTACTGACATGTTTACAGTAAAGGCGGAGATATACTGTCAGCAGCACAAAGAGCATCCAGAGAAACACCTGGCAGACCTTGAACATTCCAGCGCCTCACACACACACACACACACACACACACAGAGAGAGAGAGAGAGAGAGAGAGAGAGAGAGAGAGAGACTAGAGCTGGATTAAAACATGATGAAATAAATATAAAACACTGTAATTATGTTTTCCAGGACTGGGTTGCAGCTGGAAGGGCATCAGCTGGGTAAAACATATGCTGGAACAGTTGGCAGTTCATTCCACGGTGGTGACACCTGATTAATAAAGGGACTAAGCCGAAAAGAAAATGAATGAATGTAGTTTTGTGCTAGTGAAGCGCTGAACTCCTTTCACAGCAGAGTGTGTGTGTGTGTGTGTGTGTGTCCTCATGAAGCACAGCTCCAGCATATGCAGATCTCCTCACAGTATTTAAAGAGTTTAAGTTAAGATTAGGCATTAGATGAGAAGTGTTTTCAAGATATACCACAGTATGGAAAAGTCAAAGTTTTAAAACTGCCAAAATCTGCTGTATAGCGCCCCTGACGTGTGTGTGTGTGTGTGTGTGTGTGTGTGTGTGTGTGTGTGTGTGTGTGTGTGAGAGATTTGTACATCTCCAGCAGAAAATATCCAAAGATGCATCTTTAAATGATAGAGAAATCAGAGCTTTACAAACTAATGAAGACAGCAGAGGTCTGTGATTGACTGGAGTTATTTAACCTGTTCACTGCTCCACAATATTGCGGAAATGTTTCTCAAAATTATATATATATCGTCCTCAAAGGGAGATGTTTACCCAGAGCGTGATCACAATACCGTCAAACCAT